ACTTTTTGTAACTTTACATATAGAATATATATCCGCTCGTCAAGTCACACAAACGACCCAATTTCTCTAAAATCATAAACGAACGAAAGAACAAATCAATAGAGAAGTTTAAAAAATATATATATCAAAAGAGCAACAAAACATGTCGAAGTACTTCCACAGTCTCTCACAGACACCACACAGACTCAAGTCCAGGATGCTCGCCACGTGGACTCCCGACCAAGAACTTAACCAAGTCCGTCGCCGTTCCGGTGCCGACATGAAGCGTAAGCTCTGGTGGTTCGACCTTGTTTCTCTCGGCGTCGGAGGAATGCTTGGAGTCGGTGTCTTCGTCACGACCGGTCCGGTCGCACGTGATGTCTCCGGTCCCGCGGTTTTCATTTCGTACATGGTCGCAGGTTTCTCGGCACTTTTGTCGTCACTTTGTTACACTGAGTTCTCAGTTAACGTCCCTGTCGCCGGCGGAGCTTTTAGTTATCTTCGAGTCACATTCGGTACACACTACTATTTTTCTATTTATTTGCTTAGTTTTTTTGTTTTGTTTAAGAAAAAAAGACTAATTAATAATATGAAAAAATGCTTGTTGACAAACAATTCGTTTTTTATACAAACAATTATTGACAATTTGTTCTACAAACAAACTAGGGTCAATTGCGACAACAACCAAAAAAAAAAAATAATAATTAAAAATGTAACAAAAATTAGCATATATGGCAAAAACTCTACTATTAAATTTAGGTTAAATGATTAGGGATTTTGTTATAATATTTTTTTATGGTTATGTAATGCAATTTCCCAACAAACAATGCTTGCTTTTTTTTTTGTTACAAACAATTGTTGACAAACAAAAAAACACAAAAAGCTTAGAAACAAGAATTTGAGTATTTACGGTGACATTTTATCAAGTAACGAAAATGTATCGCAAATTAGAAAGATGATAGCACTAAGTAGAGAACAAGCAAATATATGTATCTAAGAATTTACGTAAGAAATTATTTGAAAGAAATATATGGAACTAAAGCTTTACGATAAAATTAATTAGCAATATTTACATTATTATCATGATATTATATTTGCAGTTTCTTATTCTAAAGAGATTTAATAAATACAAAAGAAAAAATCATGGAATTCCAACTCCTGATTTAAACCTCTAATGGTTTTTACTTTTACGATAAACTTTCACCATACAAAATAATGAGAATAACACTTAATATGAATTCGCAAACGTTAATATCACTAACAAAGCTGTTCATTTTCAATTCTTTTGGGAGGATGAATATTCTCAGAAAGAACAGATTAAAGGCCTCGAATCCACGAAGATTAAGATTTAGGGTCGAATTTCGAAGTTATTAAAAAAAAAAGTTGTTCAGTTTTCATAATTTTGGGAGTAACAAAAAAAGAACTCTCAAATAATTTTGTAATATTATGTATTAATGAATATTAATTTATAAATAAATTTTATAATAACTACAAGAAAAATATACTAGTTAACCAACGAAAGTTTTCACTTGATTTTTTTAAATAAATTACCATCATGTAAGTTAAGTGAGATTGTTCTTTGTCTATTTTACCTAACACGGTTAATTGTTGTATGAAGAGAAAAAGACACGCAAATAATTGTAGTTGTCAGTTGTCACAATCAGACAGATCTAAAGAACATGGTACATGGATACGAGATTCCTCTCTATTCTCATATCATATGTGATCTTTCTTTGTCAGAAGTGACCCTTCAACAAATACACTTTTCCTTTCTCTTTTCGATGAAAAGAATTATCTGTTAAAGTACATTTTTTGAAGGAAAAATTATACTTTTTACATTTTTTATTGGAGCAAAAATATGCGTTCTAATTTCCTTTGGGATCAGGTGAATTTATCGGGTATTTTGGAGGAGCCAATATACTACTTGAGTACGTTTTGTCAAACGCGGCGGTTGCAAGAAGCTTCACAGAGTATATGTGTACGGCGTTTGGCGTTTCGGATCCAAACGCTTGGAGAATAAAAGTGAATGGTCTAGAGAAAGGTTACAACGAACTCGATTTCCCTGCCGTGGCTCTTGTTCTTCTCCTCACTCTCTGCATTTGTCATAGGTATTATATCAACCAATAAAAAGTAATTTAATTGAGCCACGTATATTTTTGTTTTTTTTAAAAGGAATTTACATGTTTGTTGAATAATTCAACTCGTCGAAATTCGGATATTCTCCTTGATCAAAAACTGTGTTAAAAATTGAACAAATGATGGCTTAATAAATATGTTTCAAAATTAGTTTTTTAAAGGTGGGAAATAGGACTGTTTTAGTTTTTAAAGGTAATTATAACAAAATAATTTATTCTTTTATGCATTGTGTTTTCACACAACTTGTTAATATAAGGAAATCAAATCAGAAAACAAAGACAAGTGATTTATGAGAATCACGATTCACGACCACTTTTTGTTGATGTGGATTTCATTATAATAATTAAAAAAATATATATGAGTTATAATATCTTTCTCTGTTTTATCCACTATAAGAAAAACGGGGACAAATAATATATAAGTGGAAAAAAATCCTACGGCAAACACATACAAACTCAAAAACTCTAAATATCAAATTCGATGACAAGGGTACAAATTGGTATTGGCGGATATATTGATGTTTTAAGCCAATATGAAATAAATATCAGTATTTTGTCATAAATATTTTGTCAAACCATACACAAATTAAAAGTCAAAACATTAATTGTTATTTAAATGTTTATTGTAGTACGAAGGAAAGCTCAATGATTAACCTAGTGATGACAGTGTTCCATGTTATATTCTTCGGGTTTGTAATAATCGCCGGATTCTGTCACGGTGACGGAGCCAAGGCGCTCGTGGAGCCGCGAGGTTTGACTCCATACGGCGTTCGAGGAGTCGTTAACGGAGCTACCATCGTCTACTTCAGCTACATTGGATACGACACCGTTTCAACTCTCGCCGAAGAGATCCAAAACCCTTCGTTTAGTCTTCCAGTTGGAATCATCGGCTCCGTCTCTGTCGTCACTGTCCTCTATTGCCTCATGTCTCTCGTACTATGCATCATGGTCCCCTACAACGAGGTAATTATAATGTTTAAATATTTTTTTGTGAAGAATTTAACCGGCATCAAAACCACCTCTAATCCGTATGACTATCCACTAATTGTGGCTAAATGAATCTATATCTTTTTAAAAATACATCAGATATACTGGTTGGATTTAGAAACAGTACAAGCGATAAGAAATAACGCCATTTTTCTATCACTTCACTGATTGGTTACACAAAAGGTGTGTACACGTTGTATTACAACGATACAATGTCATCAACATAATCAATTATCAATTACATTTTAGGCCACCTTAAAAAGTGTTATACTGACTTGTATATAACTTTTTAATGAAAGTTTATTTTATTCTAATAGAATTATTAAAATGTTTTTAACAACAATGTAATTCGTCTTTTAAATTGATCTTCATGGGAAATAAGTGCAATACAAATCTACTAACGTATAGAATATGTTGTAGATATCAAAGAGCGCATCGTACGCAGTTGCGTTTCGGAGGGTCGGGTGGGGTTGGGCAGGGAACGTGGTCGGTGCGGGTGCGAGCCTAGGGATCGTGGCGTCACTGTTGGTGGCAATGTTAGGGCAAGCCAGATACCTTTGTGTGATCGGTAGAGCCAGGCTGGTCCCTTCATGGCTCGCCAAGGTTCATCCTTCAACCGGCACTCCATTGAACGCCACTCTCTTTCTCGGTAAATATCATTTAAACAACATTATCATTTATAACATATAGTTTTATAATGCATATTGTCACTTACATCAAAAGTTACAAATGGTGACATTTAAAAAAAAATGAAATCTTGGAGAATCGCGAAATGAAGAAATGTAAAAGCAGGTAGAATCATTCTATAATTATGCGTATTATTAAGCAGATTATATAACATCACAAGACACATTATCACTGAAAAATTGCAAAAAAAAAGTACACTACGGTTATATAATTTTAAAAATTAAATTAATGTAACTATAAGTTCTAAATACTGTATTTAATAATACTTTAATTAATAACGTGTGTGTCTTCAGGCCTATGCACAGCTTCAATTGCATTGTTTACGGACCTAGAAATTGTGATGGAGCTGATTTCCCTCGGAACGCTCTGCGTTTTCTACCTCGTCGCGAATGCTCTTCTTTACCGCAAATACACTTTAACAGGCCAAAACGCACCGCTTCACACTCTCTCGTTCCTCGCCTTCCTCTCTTCTTCCGCTCTCGCATTCTCCCTCTGGTGGAAACTAAACAAACCGTGGTGGGGCCTAACGCTATTTTTCTCGATCGCTATAGCGGTCACTGCCTTTTTTCAGTACCATACGTCCTCGATTTCATCCTCGACAAACAAAAATCTTCTGCCACCGAGTCCTTCCAAATGGTCAGTGCCTTTCATGCCATGGCCACCCGCAATTTCGGTGTTCCTAAACCTTTTTCTAATGACAACGCTGAAAACGCTGTCGTTTCAGAGGTTTGCGATTTGGACGTGCCTTGTAACGCTGTTCTACGTGTTGTATGGCGTTCATAGGACTTATGAGGCCGAAGAGATAGGTAGAGTCGATGTTGCTGAAAGTCACGTGACTAGCATTAGAGTGCAACCGGAAAAAGTGGACAGTATCCAAATGGTAATTCCCTAAAAGTGTACATTCAGATGATTTTTTTTCGTATGTTAAGAAGAAAAAATTGACTCTTGATGATGAATTAATATGGATTTAGCTACGATAAAGACCTGTTTCGATTTTTTTTTTTATTAGCAACATGCATTATATATGTAGAGTTTAAATTTGAATGGTGACAACGATGATATTAACCAAATCAGTCACTATCTTAGTAAAGATTATAAGGCCACATAAGCTGTGATGATTGATTTAATATAGTAATGGATTTTTGTAAATATAAATTTATATATTAATTAGATTTCATTTCAAAATGAGCTTATATATCATGATATAATTATTCTTGAAAAATATTTACGACTATCATTCAAATGAATATTTTCCTAAAGTAAAATATTATTGCCGACAAAAAAAAGTAAAATTTTATTAAGATGTATTCTAACATAATATAGATTTACCTTTTTTATTGAGAAAATTCAAAAAATGCCACTTTTCAACTGTCACTTTTCAAAAATATCACACTTTTAAAATCTTTACAAAAATACTACTTTTTCAAAAAAAATTTTGCTTTATATTATTTATATTTGGATTAATTATGTTCTATTATGATTTAGTTATGAGGGTTTACGGGGTTTTAGGGATCAAAACATTTTTTAGGGTTTAGAATTTTAAGATATATGCTTTATAAATCTATAATTCGTGGCATTTTTGCAAATGGACACCCCTAAGTGGCATTCTTGCAAATGTGCACACAAAATGTGGTATTTTTGTAATTGCCTTTTTTATTTTCGTTTTTATTAAAATATAATTATTGCATTTCGATCATTGTTTAGGTGATTGGGGAGGCTTTTGTGTTTCAGCATAAATCCAGAACATGTTGCAATTTTTTTGTCTAATTTATAATCTTA